TTTTTCATTTAAAATAGATTAGATTTACAGAGTTAGTCAACCAGGATTTTCTTGTTAAGATAGTTTAGAGATTTTGATATAAAAATTGAATGTAAATAACAGATCTGAGTGGATATGAAAAACAAAATGTATAAAATTGGTGAATTGTTCTCCTAAAAATGTATAAGAACGTAAGAAATATTAAAAGGAATGAAATGCAAGAGAAAAATCTGACACAGAACTGCATATATAACATACCATGCATATGTGTCAAGATATATAAATGGAGGAAACCAGCTATTATCTGAAAGTCAGACTTAATGAACACAAGAAAGCCATAAGCAAAGATTAGGTGGTAAAATCTGGTATGGTGGATCATATCTGGATGGTTACACATTATCCTCTTTGGGATAAAATTTCAAATAATTTCTAGAGTTCATTGTTTGTTGGGTGAGGAAGTTTTAGGCAGCATCAACCAGATATGTTAGTCAGGTTTGCACAGATTTTAATACTATATGGTTTTTGTAGCTTAGTTTATTTGGTGTTAGGGAATCACTTGGATCGAGTTTGGAATCACCTTGGTGTACCTAATGCTATGAAAATAGGCCAATCTCACAGGTGTATTCATGAACAATGTCTTTTATTTGTAGATTTCTGGAAATAGGAAATTGTCTTTTTCTTATGTATTACACATGATGATTTTCTTTCTATATTTCTAAGATGAGGTATTATGTACATTATTTACATTATTTGGACTATTGTCCTCATCTTTGTCACCATATTTATTACAACGTTGTAATAAATATGGTGACAAAGATGAGGACAATAGTCTGAATAATGTAAATAATGTACATGATAATTTTCATCTATAATTAGAAGGCAATGAAAAAAAGCAGCAATTTGAAGACTTGACCTGATCAGGTAATTCTGAAACATGTGAACTGCTCATGAACTAACTGATTTTCTGTCTTTCCATGTCTTGGGTCACAAACTTAAACAGGATGACTAGCAAAGGGACCAAGTACGGAGAGAATTGAATTTGTGCCTTTCTCAAGAGAATTAATATAAAGAAGTTTTAAAGATGACAGAAACAAAAAGAATTATAAAGAGAGTGGTCGAAATTTCTAAGATGCATTATGAGAAAAGAAGGCTTGGAGAATTTGACACTCAGAGGACATACTGAAGATGAGCAACTTACCTAATGTAATTGTACAAATGGATGATGGAACAGGAAGTTGGAGCGATAGTAAAAAGACAAGCATTTATAGAAATATGTGGAGAGCCATGATCGCCTATGACCTGAAAGAACACATCACATATAAGAGGATATTTTCTGGACAGATCTTGTATTTTAAAAGGAAAGGTTTTATCCTTCTGCTACCTTTTGAGTCATGATTGAAGGTGAACAGCTACTTAAACTTGCTTATTGCATTTATACAACGGATACTAATTTATTTAAAACAAACATATGAAAACTATTTGAAAGATAGAAACTCACATAGTTCAATCTGCTCCAAATGCCAGTTTGGTTTATGAGTTAAACAATTTTATTCATCAGCTCATAGTATATATGATCAGTTTTATGAGAAAATATATTTTAATTTCATAATTTCTTAACTTTGAAAATTTTCTATCAACAAACCAAGCTAAAAAAATAAAAGTTCAATCAAGTATCACTTTCATCACTTTTTTAATACTAAAATTCATCCAAGTTTCGTGAGCCACTCAAGATCAATTGATTTGTTTTTTATAGATTATAAACATTTTGCATGTTACTTAAAGCCAGGAGAATATTTTTAGATTGTAAGAATTTTTTTGGAGATAATAATGATTTACTGATACAAGTCCTTACTAATTAACCCATAGCTGTGGTGGACGGAGAAAAGGTTGATTCATATCTTTGCCAAGGTTATTTGCATGTAAGTAAATATAATGAACCTGACTGGGATTGGAACTTTGCTCTCTGATTTCCAATTCTGAGCCATTTTCCATCATACCACCTGCATGTTAAAGCTTGCAGCACCTGATATTCCTAAGTGGTCACGCATCTCAGTATTGTCCAAACTTGACATTGCTTAACTTTTGTATTTGTACAAAAACCAGTGTTTCAATGAATATAAGCCTTCAAGGTCAAGGGTTATTGTTAAAATGGTAATGTTGAATAGAATGCAATATGAGTGAAAGAGGAGGTAGTAGGAAGTGAAGGTTATGAGGATAAGAAGGATAGATAAAGATTGACCCTTGACTTGGAGAAGTTAAGATTGACCCTTGACTTGCAGAGGTTAAGATTTTACTTTTTAAGGAAGCATCATTGTTGTAGTGTTTTCCACGAGGTAGCAGTGTCGTCAACTATAATTAGTTTAAAAGTATTCACTACTATTTCTCTAGTAGTTTTGTCTTCATGGTTAGGATTAGTTTAGCCTCCAGCCAGTATCAACTGCTATTTATATGGTGGGGATTTGGCAATCTCTTGAAAGCTATATGCAGTCTTTTGAAGGGTTGATTAATCTGCCTCCTCCTCTCACAAATCTTGGCTTTTCTACGGCACACACATTAGATTTTTCAGTCATTCTCTTTACTTCCTCTGTTGAGTTGTACAAATTTCTTGATCTGATAATATCATAGCTTCCTATTGTAAGGTTATTATTATAACAGACACTCGTACTTGGTATAACGTAATTCATATAAGTATTCTCTATATGTAGTTCTTAGGCTATTGTCGTAACACCTGTATAGTTAGTATAAAGACTGATTCCAATAGGACTACTGACGACCTCATACCATGGAACTCTTTATAGTATTGGATGAGTTCTATAGAGTCACTGGGGGTGTAGTCTTTACTCCAGAACAGATAAAGTGCATCATTCTTAATACTCCAGGATGACATTGATTATCATGTCCTTCTTTAAGGTAAAACAATTTATCACTATTTACATTATTTGGACTATTGTCCTCATCTTGGTTGCCATATTTATTACAATGTTTTGACCGTTGTACACTCCGGCCTTCTTCAGGTGGTTGGAATGTCGAACTGAACCCTTTATTTCGCTCACTGGAGTAGACTGTTCTAGTTACATGTGCCATGTTTAATGGATGTCAGTTATCTCCGGTTAATTCCCCTCTGCAAGTTCTCTACTGCCTTAATAGTGTACATAATACCTCATCTCAGAAATATAGACAAAACATTTTATCATTTGTGGATAATCTATGACTAACCATTTTTTTTTTTTGTTTCTTGTCCTTAGTTCCCACAACTTGTGCTTTCCACGGAGATTTACTGAGCTCAATGATATCAGAATCCAACAGGCTTTTTATTTCCTTCTTTATAAAAAGGTTAGGATTAGTTTAGCCTTCAGCTGTATTAACTTCTATTTATAAAGTGGAGATTTGCATATGAATACAACAAACAGTCCTTGGAAATTCTACAGAATAATAAATAATAAGAAATAGATTTTGTCAAACTAAATTGGTAAGTTTAAAAATTAACCAAAGTTGGAAGAAGAGTCAAAGTTAAAAACTGTTTTCATGGGGAGCTAAATTTCTTATTGATCTTTAAATAATCTCTCTTGACCCTACACACTTCCAATAGTAAGGAAGAAGTTGCACTCAGACAGCTTCTTCCCAGGAACTGTTACTTTGTGTAACAGACTCCCAAGAGGATGCTTCCTCAATAACCTCTTCAAGTCTAGAATCAACTGTTATCTGTCATACATATCCTCATAATCTACACTTCTTACTTCTCTACAACAACCTTATTCAATAACCCTCTACCTTAGCTGGCTCTTGGGCCTTGTAACATGTGCATAGTAGTATAAAAAAAATAAATAAAAAACTTCTCTTGCTGTTTCTTGCCAAATTTCTTAACTTTACAATACCAACCATTTTTAACTGGCAGAAAATATTTTAGAAGACAATGAAGATAGTTATCTGTCTCACGTAAGAGCTATTGGTACTGACGTAATTAACCTTGCATGTCACTCAAAAGCAAGTGACCCCCACTGGATTGTGATGATCAACAGAATCTGGGGGTGGAGGAGGAGAAAACAAAACAAAGAAAATAAGAAATAAATGTTAATTCTTGCCCTATCTTTATCCATCACGATTCAGATAAGTAAACCTTGTCAGGTAAAAGGGAGTGTTTTCACCTGAGCTTTTTGCTTATCATGAACTTATTTCTCTTTTCTAACTCTATGTGCTTATATTATTAGTGATCTCTTTAAAGACATTCTTTTTTTCTTCTCATTCTTTACCGAAAGACCTGACTCTATAAATCAGAGGTTGGTGAAGTTAATAAATAGAATGATGACAACATTTTTTTTTTTTGTTTTGGGATGTTTTCGTGACCAACTCAAGGAGAAAAGAGGATTACCTGTAGCATGATTGGTGCCTGCAGCAGGTACTCCACCCACTTGACTGACAGGAGCATCCCTCTGACTACAAGGCTCAGGTGATAGCAAACATTCACCTGTAATTTTTTTTCTTGTCTGTCTTGAAATAAGTTGACCTTCCTTGAAAAGAGGTCTTTAAAAAGGGGATAAAATGAAAGGGTTGGCTAAATCGATGGCTCAAGTTGAAAGTAGCTCTTTTAAAAAGGAAAAAAAGAAGATGTGATTTGAATGAATTAAATGTGGTCATGTGTTATCGTCTTTTTTTCTATTTAAAGTTTTATATCAATGTGTTTGTATTTCTCTTCTCTGCCTGTGCATGTAATATTTATGTATATCAATATATGTGTAATCTTCTATGTACTTTGTCCCTTAAGAATGTTGTTGATCATGTCTCTCCACAATTTCCTGTTCTTTATAGACCTTAATAAATTTTGTCTTTTTGTTATCTGTGTCTAACTCCACTCCATATTATATTAAATGGCCACGGCAGCAGGGTCTTATGTGCTATTAAATATAGAAAGCTATTTAAAAAGAATGTGCAGTTACTGTAATGTTTATTGTTACAGGAAATCAAATTGTTGAGCTGATTTCAAATTCAAGCCTTGTCAATCTCAGTCAATTTAGCACTAGTTTATGGCCACATCATATTGAAACACCAGTTTCTATATGATCACCAAAGTTAAGCAATATTAAGTCTGGTCATCACCTAGATGGGTGACCACTTGGGAATACCAGGTGCAGTAAGCTTCGATGTGCAGGTGGTGTAATGGATAATGATTCAGAATTTGTTAATCAGAGATCCAAGTTCCAATTTCCATTGGGTTTGTGATATTCACTTATATGCATACACCCTTGGGAAAGGTATGAATATACCTTTTCTCCTCCCAGCTATGGGTTAATTATTAAGACATGTATTACTAAACCATTATTATCTCGAAAAAAAATTCTTATAATCTAAAATATTTTCTGGCTTTAAATAACCTGCAAAAGGTTGATAATCCATAAAAAACAAATCAATGAATGAATCAAAAAAACTTTAGCACTTATGCCCTTAGAAAAGGCATTATTTATCACTTCTTGCTCCAGCAATGGGTTAAGTAGAAGAGTAGATTGGACTCTCAAGTTTTGCATGGCAACCAACCCAGAAGAAGGAAAACTTCAAATTCCAAATTGTAGAAAAGGTAACAGGAAAATATTGCCAATATTTTTCTGAAGAAGTCATGACAATTTGGTAAAGGAAAGGAATCTTTGGAAAGTTATTATTTTCTACATCTTGGCACGGATATGGCATTTAATAAAAGAAGAAAAAACATTTTGTTAAGATTTCTCTCACTGTGCTAGAAATCTTAACAAAATGTTTTGTCACTGGCATGCCACAATAGCTCAGAGAATAGAGCTGATGCATGAGCACTTGGCTAAACGATTTTTCAATAACTATTTTACCTGCCCAGGTTGTAGTAACAAAACTCTGTTACACCCATAGTCAACCTCGACAGGAGTGGCTGTTGATGATAATAATTATAATATTAATAAAAATCTGAGTCAAGTTGAATGAGAATCTGACAGAATGATAAAGATTTTTAAAACATTTTGAAAAATTTTAATTAGACCTGATTTGCTGATAAACCATCATCAAAAATATTTTTTAATTCAAAATTGCCTTGGAGAGGCAGTTAACACTACCTTTGACAAGAATGGAATAAGATCGTTTGATCTTTCTAACACATATAATAGACACACACACACACACACACACACACATATGTGCACATATATATATATATATATATATATATGTGTGTATCCATATATATATATATTATATAAAAAGAGAATATCCATATATACTTTTTTATGTTTTTTATTAATTTGTCATCTAGGAACAGAGTAATTTTTTTGTAAATTGTAAAAGTTTTGGCTACTCCTGTGACCTTTCTAAGTGCTTGTCATTAAATAGTTATTTTTTAACTGACCAGATTAAGAGACAAAAAATGAATAAGATGGAACATAGAAATCATTATCTGGTGCTGAGACCAAAGGAGTGATGATTCTTGCACTGTGGTCATTAACGTCTGCTGGATTTGAAACCAGTTCAAAAAACTACTCAATAACAAACACTGAGGAAGGCTCGAAGTGTAACCTAAAATGTTTCTATTTCCAAAAACTTTACAGTTCTCACACATGTCACCTAAATAAAAAACATAAAAAATATATAAAGAACATCTTGGTTATGATAATTTAATAGAATATAATGTTGGTTCTTTGGAGTTTTGATTTTGTAAAATTAAAACTACAAAGAAACAACATTACAGTGTAACCCAGATATAAGAGAGATTTTCTCTGGTCCCAAAGTGTTCCCATACTTACCTAAACAAAATAGACCAAACCCGGATATAAGAGAGATTTTCTCTGGTCCCAAGGTGTTCCCATACTTACCTAAACAAAATAGACCAAACCCAGATATAAGAGAAACCCGAATATAAGAGACTTCTTCTCCGGTCCCAACAACTCTCTTATATCCAGGTTACACTGTATTTATAATTTCAAATGCCCCTTAAAGAACTGTATTCCTTGATCAAACCAAACTCATAAATAATTACATTGGTCACACTACTACATGTCTATTTAGATGACTTACAATACACCTACTTGATCATACACAGCTCCATTAGGACTTATTTAAACACAAATAAAATTCTAGCAGACTCCATCTGAAACATACGAGTAGAAAATACAAGTATAATAGCTTCATCCACATGTGAAAAAGAAAAGAGTAAAAATAATGGAATCCCTAATAATAAAAAAGGAAAAGCTGTGGACACTGTCACAATGTGCTAACTGTATTCGGAAAATAAAACATTGCTATAACTTTAGACACATACAGAAAAATCCCACATATTTAGTTAAAAATAAAAAATAAAAATCATCCTTGATAATGGCTAAAAGAATAGCCAAAAGTGCTTGGATATGCAGAACTTTTGGACAGTTTTTATACACTTTGTGTCCAAAAAAGAAAACACTTGTACAAACACAACAAAAATTAAATAAAAAGCTTAATCACAGTGTACATTACTTACATTATTCGGACTATTGTCCTCATCTTTGTCGCCATATTTATTACAATGTTTCGGCCATTGTAGGCTCCGGCCTTCTTCAGGTGGTTGGACTATCGAACTGAACCGTTTATTTCGCTCACTGGGGTAGACTGTTCTTGTTCCACATGCCATGTCTAATGGATATCAGTTATCAGTAATGCCAGAGAAAAGCGATAATAACAAAAATTGCAATATGAGCTCTGGTAAAAACATACAATGATAACAGCAAAAATTGCAATATGAGCACTGGTAAAAAAATGTTTGCTGAAGATATTTGGCTTATAATACCCAGAAATTCATACACATCCTCAAGGACACATGGCACAGTGGATAAAGGTGTTAGTTAGATCCAGTGACAGGACCCAAAGAGTATGAGTTCAATAACTGGTTAAAGTGGTGGAGAACTTGGAGAGGGGAATTAACAGGAGATAACTACCCCGTGAGCAAAATAAAGGGTTCAGTTTGACATTCCAACCACCTGAAGAAGGCCGGAAATGTCCGAAACGTTGCAATAAATATGGTAACAAAGATGAGGACAATAGTCTGAATAATGTACATAATACCTCATCTCAGAAATGTAGACAGACAATTAATCACAGTGCTTTGTCAGTTGTCCTTATCAAAACATATATATATCTGTGTGGTGTGTGTGTGTATGCATGTATGTGTGTATGTCTTTCTTGTTAGAAGAAAGACAGTTTTCTATTCTGAATAAAGTTAAAATTTAATTAAAAAATTTAGTTCTTTTTAAAGTGGGCTCTGGGAACTTTTACCCAGACATTATATGCACACAAGCATATGGCCATGTCAGTCATATGTGTAGGTGGTGTAACGGTTATTTGGATGGAAAATGGAATCAGCAGACCAAGTTCAAATTCCAGCCAAGGCTTTTGCTTTTACTGTGTAGTCATACCCTTAGGAAATATAAGAATCCATCTCTCCTCTCCCAAGCTATGGGGCAACTACGGTGGGGGGAGGTGGCAGACTGGATTCTTTAGTTTTGTTAAGGCACCCAGTATAAAGCAATAACTCTATGTTCAAACCAAGCTTCTAATTCATCCAATACATATAGTCACATGCAAAAGTATTGGACACACTTTTTTCTGTGAAGGATATACATACATACATACATACATTATATGTATACATACATACATACATTATATGTATACATACATACATACATTATATGTATACTCAAATTTTAGGAATGCGTTTTCACAGCGTCACCCACGTGACGACAACGTGACCATGTTTTAAACGGAGTGCTGATCTTATAAAACTTTCAGTTATTTGTTTGGATAAGTCTTGTTCTTATGTACATCGTCTTTGTCATGTTGTATTGATAATGTTATAATTTATGAATATGTCCTGAAGATGGTTTATTAGACCGAAACGTCCGATATTGACATATTAACATTAAAACAGCATAATTGTATATAAGGATTTTTGTTTGTTTTTTCCGTATATATTTTTCTTCATACTGTCGGATCTATATCCATATATTTGCTTACATACATTATACATATATATATATATATATATATATATATATATATATATATATATATATATATATAAATTCGCCTACCAGCCAGTTCACACTCCTCCTCAGTCTTTTGAACAGGAGTAGAGGTGTCTCCCTTCTTTCCTGTTTAGGATTAGGTTTTCAGTTCCTTCTATAGTCCTTTCACTCCCAGTATACCTTGCATCTTAGTGGCAGTATCACCTTGCTTGCAGTGAATTGATTAAAAAATATATCCTAATAATTATTAATAATGCTACAGGTAATAATACTACTAATTATTAGTATAAATTTTAGCTCTGTTATTTTACTTTGAGCATTGTTTTATTACCACCAATACTGTGTGCTAGTAGATAATATAAACAGAAAAAAATGAATGATACATAATTCTGTTTTTGCTTTTCTTTTCCTGTCAAATTGCACCATGGGAAATAATTTTGCTCACAAATTTTCAGAATAATAATACAGTTTAAAAAAAACAAAAAACTAAACAAATCGTTTATTAAGCAACTATACTTAAATTTTACAAAACACTGATGTCAGCGATATTTGTGCTGCTTAAAAAAAGGAAAAACAGTTAAAAAAAAATAAAAAAAAAAGGTTACTAAATAATACGTTATATTTTTAATTTTTTTATACTTTATTCCGATTCTGAAGTACTACCAATATTACGAGTTTAATTACATTGTAATGTTTTTGATTTTTGAGATCCAAGCATAAAAAATTAAGCAACTTGAGTACTAGAAGAAAAAAAAAAAGAACCCAATTAATAGTCAGAATCCTAAATTTCTTGTTAAATATTATCAAGTAAGAAATTAAGTTTATTCATTTGTAATGTAAATTAAATAAATGACAATATTGCTAGCAGCAATGATGGATGGCAACATTAAATTAAAAATACATGATTATAAAACAGAAAACGTATAATCATCTCTCAGAATGAGATAATTTGTTATAAAAAATCATTTAAACAGAAACTTATATTCATTCAAATAAAAAATGGTTTTATTTTAGTTTTACATTCTTTTCAAACTTTCTTTATTTCACTTGATTTTTTTAATTGTTTGTCTTGTATTTTATAAATTTCAATTATGTCATCAAATATTTTTATTTAAAATATTTATT